GCTAAAACTAAAGTAAACTAAAGCCTAAAGTAATTCTAAAGTAAAGTAACTCTAAGTAGCAGTGTTACAATGTATGCGACTTGATGGACCGAAACATTCCCATTCAAATTATAATCTTAAGCCGTTTGTAGCATCCATGTTGATGGGTGCCAAAGTAAGGGAAGTGTATATAAAGAGGAGGAAATAGTAGAAAAAAACTTATTCACATTTCCTTTTTTAGTCCCTTACATCTTACATAAACATATACCAAGTAAAATTAAAATTAAATTACACCAACTTCGTTCTTGGCTCTTGCTTGGTTCTAGGGTGTCTCTAGGGCCCCTCTTCCCCACTCCCAATCGCTCCCCTCTCAGAAGCCCCGCTCCCCCTTCCTCTTCCCCCGTCTCCGCTCGTCCATCCTCCCCCCAAGAGTCCGTCCTGGATCCGCCTGTGGTATGGAAAGAACCAACCCCCCCTCCCCCCTCCCCCAAATATTGCCCGTGTTACCTCGTGTAAAAGCACTTAGCGCTTCCTCCTTTTCCAGCAGGCACAGCCGCCGTTTCTTCGCCACAATCATCTCCATCGTATGCATCAGCTTACGCTCCATCTGCGTTATTTGTTCCTGTCCAACTGGCCGCATAAATATGGTCATGTAACAGTACGGTGCATTCACAGCACCAAACCCAGAAAGCACGGCCATCACTGTAACACCAATTACGCCAACACGTGAAATTGCCTGCTCAATTGTAAATATTCCTGAAAAAGCGAAAATAAAAACGTAACCAAGCATGCCTGGCAATCTACGAACTCATACTGATTTGTCTAAAAAAACAATGGCAATTCTGGAAGTATTTTTAAAAGGTCGAAAGGTGCAGTGAGAAATTTTACAAATATAAAAACATTTAACGGGCCCATACATGGCAACCACGCATACCTGGGCGCTGAATTTGAACTCGTGAAGTCATACGTGGACGGAGAACATCCTTTTAAAATTCCAGCTTTCTAGCTTTTCTGATTCCCGAGTTAGCAGGTTACCGGCCAAAAACTTTGACGGGCTCGTACGTGAGAACCACGTGAGTAATAGAGCCCATTTTGGAGACGGGGGAGGGGGCGCATGTGCATGTAGATTAAGTTCCCAAAATTTTAGCCTTGTAGCTTCTGTGAGTCTCGAGATGAGAAATCGGTACAGACCACATACAGACATATGCACAAACACACACAGACAACCTCTCAACAATGTGAATTTTTGCATTGCATAGATGCAAAAAACGCATAAAAACAAATGTGGACGTCAGGATTGTCAGCAGGCTTACCATCAAGTAATGTATGTAGCACTGGTCAAGAAAACTAGAAAAGTTGTCAGCTGCACAGCTGGAGGACTAGGCTGTCAATTAACACCTATTCCAGGTACCCTATAAACAAAATAGGCACAGAACAGAGACAACAGATGGACAAGGTGTACTGTTGGACAATACTCAGTTATGTTAAATGGACACTTCGACCAATGAGACAGAAGGGTCAACTGGACGGCTATACTAAGTTTACCTGAATAAAGATTTGCCGTTAGTTACGAAAAAGAGCCAATTTAGGATACCTCCACATTGGGGGGTAAAAAGGAATCCAACTGCAGCAATGCAAATTTGGGCAGGGCGAAGGGAGTTTAGTCAACAACTTCGTTTCCTCGTTACTCGCTCCTTCTTCCTGCATTTCTAATTTGACTAACTAACCATGCTTGGCACTTAGAATCGGAAATGGATCACCGATTTTCCAGAAAAAATATATAAATATAATCCAGGAGAGTAAAGTTAACGGCAACAACCACTTCCTTCGCACTGAAAATGCACAGTTTTTAGCACACAGCTCAGTGAAAACTAACAATTGTACTTCAAAGTGAGATGTTAACCTCCCCCCCTCCCCCCCCGCATTCATTCTTGATGAAAAGCGGATGCTACCAGATGTAGCCCGAGTGATAGCAAACGCCAACAGCCAGCACCTGCTGAAAAGAATATTGGTTACTTGGTCACTTTTATTTTTAAAAAAATTTAAAAATTATAATCCTTTCCCATTTTCTCTTTTTCCCTTTTTCCTTCCTTCACAATACTTTTTCTTTCAATTACAAACAAGCCGATAGCGGCATACTTTTTTAGCGTTTGTCAAATTTCATCAAACAACTTTAATTCATGCCACAGATGTTGCAAAACGAAGAAGGAGCGAGTAGCAAGGAAACGAAGTTGGTGGCTAAACCCCCTTCGCCCTGCTCAGTTGCCCTTCGGCTCCCTGTGATATGCAAATGTTCCGTCTCTTGGTTCGAGTTCCCCCTTTCGTTTTTGATTTTTTTGCGGCTACACTGATAAAGAGGTGTTTTGTTGGAGCGCTTCTCCGCCCAGGCCCAGCCTTCTCATCCTGATCGTTACACAAATAAAATTGGCAATCTTTCGACGTCGTTCTGGCCAAAACTGTTGCTGTTTCCTCTTATGCTTGTTCATAATTCATATCACCGGTAGGAATGTGTGAGGAATTTTTCGTATAAAATCCAGCACCACACTATAGGCTGTAGTAAACCTGTAGTTGCAAGCGACATCGACAAAAATCTCTTTCAAATATTTATAAAAAGGGCGAGCAGCAAAAAAAGAACTTACAGAATGCGATTGATATGAATACGGAATAGGAAAAATAAATAGGTAATGCAACGATTAGGACGAAGAGAATCGAATAAAGGCCCAATTTCCAGTGCAAAAAACGTGAACTGAAATTTCGCTTAACAGCAAGATTTTCGAAACAAAAATTTTTTTCAGTGATTTTTTAAAAGTGTCACTTCTACAAAGAATATTATAGTGGCCTTGAACGTTTATGTTGTATATCTTTAGATTGCTGTCTATAATAATACGTCTACAACTAGGTATTTCTATACTTACACACTCCACTAACACACACACACACACACACACATACAAGTAGGACGCGCACACTAGTCCAACCCAAAAACTTTTAGGGTCACGATAATGTGGACCGGAAGGGAATCGAACCTCTCATTTTAGCGCAATCTTTGATCCTTCGAATCGTAAAGTATTAACCGTTACAATAATCTACAGCTAACAATTTTATCTCTTTAATATCTGTATATTTGAGAGCCACAATACATAAACTGTACAGTTTCTAGCTGCTACTACAGGCTCAAATTTTTAACGGTTTCTTATGTGCATTAATGAAACGGAGGAAACTGAGCAATATGCTTTTTAAAAAGTAAATTCAGCTAAAGATTTCAAATGCAGCAGCTATCGCACATGCTTATAACGCGCTTACGGTTATGTCAAATTTCGCAGCTGGCACTGTGCTAATTCGAAAACTAGCCGGGAAACAGTAGATGAAATTCCGTCAGAATATTTGCTGCTCATATGAAAAATCGTATACCTAAATTGAGCTTCGATTTGCATTTATGCCACGAGTTAGGGCAATTCAAAGATATTTGTCAACCAACCAGACAAGTTGGGAAGTTAAAATTTTGCAAGATCAATGAGAATATCGCTAATTATCGATGAGTAAAAGAAAGAATAGGTTTTCGCATTTTTCCCTTCAAATTTGTTCCGATTTCTTAGATTTACCATCAGTAAATTTTAGGCTTACCTTGGTTCCAGAAAGCCAATAATTTCGAAAATGATCAGCTCGAACATGGTACATGAAAGAGCAAATGTCACTGAGAAAATAATTTGTACCATTCGTTTGTGAACTTCATAATCCCGGAAGAGTTGCTTCATAAAGAATAGCCATCCAAACAAAAAGAAAGCCACCTGGAACATGGTATGCATCAATTCAGCTAATGCGATTTCTAAATTTTCCGAAAAAAAAACTTTCTTCAATTTATCTCAAATTATCGAAATTCACCCAAATACACCGAAAAATGGAGCAAGTCAGAAGAGAAACGCTTCACAGCATGCACTTTTTGTGAGGTGCGGAGAGTAGTTTCGGAGGAACTCGCCAACTTCCGAGAATAATTGCTTAAAAACAAACCGGTACCAGTTTTAATGTGTAATAATTCCGCTTTCTTATCAAAAAAATTATCCGTTAAATTTTGATTTTTTGAAATACACCAATACCAAATTACTAGTGTTTACAGAAATCTGCATTGTAGGGGAACATAAGCTTAACGTAGATCGCCGGGACTCTCGTTGCTTCACAATTTCGAAATTTTCTGAATCCTAATTATCAAATTGATATGCAATTTGCTTTGAATGGTACTCAAATTCATCAAGATGCAACGGTTGCAAGCAGGCTGACAACTTTTGAAGAGATTCTTGGGTAAAAAAAGAGCTGAAAGTAACCTGCGATAAGAGCATCACAGCGGAATCCCATGCCGGACTCATCGAAACCTTCTCAGTGCGCGAATCATTAACCACTGAGCATCCACAGACACAAACACACTCTGTGGAGCTCTACTGTTTAATGTTTTGAGAGTGAAAACCTAAAAAAAATGTTGATTCAACAAAAAATCAATCAATTAGAGCCAAAAAACAAACTACTCCTGAGGCACGTAGTTTTCGCGCCCGCCAATCGAATTTATCCCTCGCCTACAGACTTCGAGTAATGGTAAGCACAGCTGCCCTCATCTATTAAAGGTTGTTAAATTTCTTTTATCTTCGGTTCTTATATTTTATGGCTCCATTCTTTCAACGTTCTGACTTATTAAGACGATGATTTTTTGGTGATAAAAATGCTGAGCTGATTATCGCATGATTGTAGCATGAAAGTAATATGAACTTAAAAAAGAAGGCAAGAACAGAACAAACTATGTAATGCAAGATAAACTGAGTCAAAAAAATCTCAAAATTGAACATGCAACACCAGAACTTCTATTTGAGACGCCCAAATCTATCAGGTTTCAATAAGCACAAAACTTTGTGTCACCTTGCTTTGGTCACCTTTCCAGGGAATTCGTCCAAAAAAGACCCAATTTTTACTGCTGGGTGGGGCCCAGGTCACCAAAAGTGGTCTAGTCCCAATGTTAATTAGGCTCTATTCTAACGAAAAGTTGAAAGAATTAGAAACATCACGAACGGAATATCTTTTCTGCAAACGTGTTTGGACCCAGAGGGAATTGGGCCACTCAATTCTCTGTAGCGGAAGTCCAGCGAAAAGCCGGCAATTGTTGAAAGAGTGTGATACAGGGTACGAGGAGGAGTGCGCGCACAGAGACCAGACGATAGAGAATATGCGCGGTAGTGCAAGACATACAGAGTGTAAGTGCTCCAACTGGTATTTGGGCGGAATAAGAATAGGTTGTGCACTAGTCTGGCACCAGATATGAAGAGGAGTGGTTCGATTCCTTTCTAATCTACGCTAATCCAAAGGGAGGCTTCATCCGTCGGATTCCCATTATCTTCGGATCAATTCGAATCGCTGTCCGTTACTCATCACATTATCGTATCGTGCACTCCATAAAGAGTACTTGCAGCACTGTATATGCATTGTCTGACCCAGCTGCTATCAAATTAGAGTACACAGCAACGTTGCAAGATGAGAATCAACTTTTCCAAAAAGTCAACAAGTAATAACTTCTGGAAGCAACACAGTATTCCGGAAAAGCCGGAGAAAAGCGGAAGAAGCGTGCCTATACAAAATTAATAAGTTTTATTGTACAGAAGTGAACTTTTTAACAATAATATATGTATCAGTAGATAATCTGAAGCACATACGAGAAGAATGGTACCAGTGCAACTACGATTCGTTCATTCATTTCAACGATAAATTGGCAGTGATACCAGGGAATCGAAACCGACATCAGCTTGCTTCTAAACAACTTTGGAAGAAGAAAACGCCATTGACACCCTTGCCAGCGAGTGTTTGCTGTTGATATTTGCTACTTTTGAAAAAATTTTTTTCTAAGCGCTTCTAGCACCCGTACAGAGCGACTGGAACAAAGTAATCTCAAAACAAACAAACAGCGCATCGGAGAAAACTTATATTTTTTATGCATATTCAGTAATTATATAAAAATAGGTGGATCCATGGAGGGCTCCTGCGGGTGAGAAGGTGTGGAAGAGAGTTTTCTTCAGTTTTAGCTTTAGACCCGGACTTTTGTAGCACTGGTGCCTGTGCCGCTGGAGAGGGAAAGACCCATCCACCTCCCGCCCATCCCCTCCCCTGGATCCACCTATGTATATTAAACGGCGCAGCACTCTCCTAACACGATAAAATCAGCAAAACAGTGAGCAAACCATAAATCAAATACAAAAAAAAAAAAACAGTTAAATAAGTATAACTATGAAATATTCAGTGAATCATTACCAACTACATTTCTTCACATGCCACTGGTAGTTTCATTGTTCCAGTTCTCTCCGTATTCTGCCTGAAGCGATCAAAAATCATTGCTTAAAACGTCCCAGATACCGAACTGAATCTCTGGTGACCAAAGTTTGGTCGCATCCCTTTGAAGTGCTTAGGTTAACCGCAACTCGTAATCTAATTCTTCAACTATCAAGCCAGTAATTTTCCCACACGCTTTGACCAATGCTGCATCTTCTTTTGGGCCAATTCATGATTCGCCTACTGTATGAATTATCACTCAGCAGTTATGCCGAAAAAAGCGCTGGAAAAGAATTTCAGCTGTCTTAAAATGTGCATGAAGTCTGGTCGTTTTTTCGGCGAATGCTCGCCCACTGAAAAAATTATAAATTTGAAGGAAATCGGAAGAGGAATATGAAATCTGCAAAATGCACTCGCTTTTGAGTTTGCGATAAAATTGAATTTGTTCTCTGTGCTGAGCATCAGCATCTCGAACGTTGCCATTTCTAGACCAATGATATATTGGCTAACAGTAAACAGTACATACAGTTGAAAATGTTTTGCAAGATTAATTTGCCACAAAATCACCCCAGCTCCTTACCGTGATGAAGGGACGATAAAAATCTCAAGAATGCCCAGAAAGCAGTGCGGTTTTTAATGCGGTTTTCAATAATCACGTCTCGTGCTGTCTGCGTTTACAGCTTGGGGATGAAACACAGGCAGGCTTTTTTACATACTGCTCTTCACATGCCTTCTTTTAAATTCCATCCTGATTTTTTTCAAAAAAATATGCGTCACAACAATCTGACCCTTTTATTTTTTTTCTTTCATTATCACCTTGGGCGATTACCGCTCCACTCCTGCATTTTCCTACTGCATGCACGATTTATGCGGTTCCTCCGTCTAATACCCTTCGCTGATTGGGCTGCTGTTCCGGCCCCTTTTTCTTTTCTTCATAGGGCTTTTTAGGCCCGTACTGCCTTTTGTATTGTTTTATTCCAAGAGCTCGAAAAGGTACGGATAATATTGAATTTTCTTTCTTTCTTTCACTATACTTGCATAGTACAGATAATCAGTTCATTGATTAATCAATGTTCTTCATTTCCAGCGTCTCCACTAACCCCATTTTTTGCTTAAAATTGACTATGAAAAGGGAGCAAACAGAAAAACGTTTTAACTCGAAAAATCTAGAGCAAAACAAGACAAAACCGGTCAAGAAACGCACACACACACACGCACACACACACACACAAACATATACATACACAGACATACCCATATTGACGTACATACATACACATATACGTACACACACCAACATGCAGACACTCATGCACACATGTGCACACTATGGATCGTCACAATATGTGTTTTTGCGTTTGCATATCTACAAAAACGAGTATCAGAAATGAATAATTAAATATTTTTTTGCATTGCAAACCTCAGCAATTTGCAGCTGTTCAAGCTGTTTTCGTTGCTCCTCGATTGCACTGCGATGCACTTCGTTACATTGCTGTTGAATTTCGAGTTCAGCAATAATTTTTTTTAGCATCAACGAATTTTCCTTAACTTCTGCAAAATATCCAGGTTACGGGAAGTGAAAAAATAAGGAGAGCATAGCAAGCAAATTCAGTGATTCCCTTTATTTGGTTACGATAATTTTTGAACAGTTCATCAGCTCTACCTCTGACGCTGAGCAGCTCATTAGCCCATCTGATTGAGCGAAACTTACCCAATAAATAGCAACACACATACACTGCCGTGTATTTATATTAGGTTTTTTTTTAAAAAAAATTTAAAAAAAGAAAATAAGGAAGTAAAAGACCCCACGTGCCGTTTGGGCCCTGTGAGCGGAAAAAATTAGGAAAAGTATGGGCTGAACCAGTACTGGGTGACTCTAGCTAAGCCGTACATAAGACGAAGTCGATCCTAAATCCGGTAAATTTTATTAAATTGGAAGGGGAGGGAGGAAATATAATAAACTCACTTTGCTCCACATCATGATATTCACTCACCAGACTGCGTATTCGCAATAGAGCACCATCCAACTGAGCTGAAAATAACTGAGTTATTAGTTTGTAATGTCACAAGAATAATATCCACAAATT